CCTTTTCATTTGCCTTAATATCATATGTCATCAGAGCGATGTGTCTGTCTCGCTGTCAGCTTCCAGCGTCTCTGATTGGTTGATGCGGCGCTTCCAGCAGCAAAACTTCAATTTTTCCAGCTCGAGCAGCAGCGGCGCGCCAGGTGCTTAAACGCTCCCGACACGCTGCGCCTGCTGCTCAAAACGCGCTGCGGGACCTTTTGCTGCGTCTATACGCGCGTCAACCATTGACTTTGCATGTACACTCGCTGCTTCTGCTGCGCCTGCTGCATCCGGTTCACACCGATGTCAAGCGGTTGAATAACAGCAAGCACAGCATTCATTTGTTTCACCAAGTTTTTCCACATCAGCTGTGAGATGGGCACGCATGGAGTCACAGATTAACAGCGATGGTGATGATTGGAAAAAACCACCTGGTCTCCTTACATTCACCTCCCTCAGCCACTCTTTCATCATCTCCTCAATGAGGTGGTCTCAAAAGTCGCAGTTACAACACACATAGGGCGCACCGCACATTTTGAGGGGAAAAAAAGACGTTTATGTGCGCCTTATAGTCGTGAAAATACGGTACCTAGAAATGTTTACACATTTTACATGGCAGTTTTGAAATTTATCAGCTTAACTGAATATGTATTTATATCTTAAATATATTTCTTCTTAGTAAAATACAAAACTACAACAAAAATCTGACTAAATCAAGAAAAAAATGTGATTGGCTGTAAGGAGAGTGGAGACGGAGAACAATAAAGCCTGCTGACAACCAGGTTAGGTCTGGGGAGAATGTTACTGCAGTCACTGAAATAGAGGTTGAGGGAACTCTGAAAAGGAAAACTCAGTTTCCCTGATTTCAGGTTTAGAAAACTTAGTTTTCAGTAAACCTGCTTTGTGAAACAGACTCCAGAACGTATGACTTTGTGTTCACCTTCTGTCAATACGTTACAGCGGCCAAGGTTTCCTGGTTCGAGGAGCACAGGCCCAGACCTGTCAGAAAATGTCAGAAGACCTCTGATGGTATGTGGCTCTACTGTTAGCACATCTTTGGCAGTAGATAAATCTCTTAAAAAATACTAAAAATGTCTTGTTTTCAAAGGAGACCATAGTTCCTCGCCCGTTTCCATATCAGCGACCAGTGTTCAGAAAAAGCTACAGCATCGTGTCTAAATACCGAAACATGAGGGTGATGCGCCAGCGAGCTCCGTACAACAGAGGACCCATCCAACGCTAGTGATAAACTCTGGTAAGCTATACTAATGTTATACTTTAATACTTTTACCTGCCTCGTTATTGGTGTTAAACTATTTAGAGTAGGGAAGATATACATGTTCCTAATTTTACTCAGATGAGCTGTTTTGTTCTTTGTTTTCACAGAGGTGTAAAATTGTGAATGTAAAAGCTGGGAAACACTAAAACCTGCCAAGATGGATTTCCCAAACCTGAGCAGCTTGTATGTTGTCAAGGTGTTCCCCCTACGATGTGGTCCTTGGTGTTTCAGTTGCTTTATTTAACCTTTAGTGTATCTATTTTTAGAAAGTTTCTAATTGTAAGAGCATCTTATTTTTGGACACTGGTTTGGGAGAAGTTGCTTTAAAAGTTGTCAGTGCTGGTTTTACTTAAGATATGCTAGTGTTTTCTTTTGTTTACAAGAAGCAATCAGACATTTTCTTTAATACGTGTCTTTATAGGCTTGTACCGTACTGTCAGCGGGCTACTTATGATTAAAAAAATCTGAAATATAACTCAAATCTTTTTTTTTTTTTTTTTTTTTAAGACTTAACATTTGTTTTATATGAACTGTAGAGATCACTATTGCTTTGTTTAAAAAAAAAAAAGATTGATGTGGGTGCTGTTCACTCCTTGTTTGAAAAGCATGTTTTGTGTTTAAAAATAAATGCTTTTATATAAACCTTATCTTGAAGTATTCAGTGCAGTCTTTAATGTTGTCTGCCCTTTACTACACACAAAATTGCTTAGACTTATTCACACTGAACCGAAGCATTGTTGCTATGAGGAGTTAACTGTAATTGACATTGAATTATACAAAATAATATATTCTTGATTTGTGTATGATTTTTAATCCAACTTTATTTCAGTAAGCATTACTCAGTGAGTTTTTTTTTTTTTTTAACTCTATGCACAGGTGGGATATGTCCATTAGGGGTGTGCAAAATAATCGTGATGATGATGCATCGTGATTCTAATTTTCGTGATCTACTGCATCGATTCTTGATGCCAAGAATCGATTATTAATTTAAAAAAATGAATAAATAAAATTGCATGAATGGTTGGTGAACATCAGCCAAAAACAAGTGTAATACAACTTCCAGTCCAGTAGATGTCGCTGCAAATGTGTTGACGCACGCTGCCTTGTGTCACAGGCATTTCCGGCCGTGGGATACTGTGCCGAGTCATTCAAAAACAAAACATGGAGGATAAAATATTGCAATGCATCGCAATAATTCAACTATCGTGATGCATCGTGATAGAATCGCATCGTGGCCTGTGAATCGTGATTCGAATCGTGACTTCTTTGGCAATACCCACCCCTAATGTCCATTAGGTATTCAGACAAAATGAGCAACAGCTGGAGGATTCTTGGACTGGGGAATAAAGGCCAACACAAAATGTCACATTTTCACACAAGTGATGCAGCTGCTGCCATTGCTTGCAGAGATGTCCACCAGAGCAGTAGCAGCACGGCTCAATGTCAATTATCTGGCAATAGGCAGTTTAACAAGATCGCCACATCAGACTCGTCAATCTGCGGGGTCAGCTAAGATCAGTAACACACAACTGTGGTCTGGATCTGACTGTTGTCTGGCGTAGGAACCGACACGCATGGGAAACGTGTCTATTGGCCCATGGCACGCTGGAGAAGTGATGTCCGGATGAATCCAGGTTCCAGTTGTGCAGATTGAGGACGGTTGTCTGGGGACCCCTGGGTCACCGATGTAAATATGCACAGGGTTGTCCATGGAGGTGGTGGACGAAGTACTCAACAGTAGTACTTGAATAAAATTAACACTCAAAATCAAATCTTACTCAGTTAAATGTTACTTGGTAAAACATCTACTTAAAAGTATTGAAGTAATCACTTTTGACAATAGTTAACTTTTAAATTCATGTACTTCTTGAATATTCAAAAATACAGATCTAATTTTTTTAATGGTACATTTCTGTATAATTTTAAAGAATCTTTTTAAGAAAACCACCTGATGTATTTATGCATAGAACCACACTGCTACAAATTCTACACCACCTGTAAAAAAAAAAAAAAAAAAAAAAAAAAAAAAAACAGCATAGAAATTGCACAAAAAATTTAGGACAGCTATATTTCTTAATTAAAAAGGGTACTGTCTTGGTTCTACTCATCTCACTAGGGTATTGAATCCGTTGCCACAAAGTAATCAATAAATATACTTTGTTACTTTCACAAGCTCTCAAACTTTTTCCACTTTCTAAACATCCTTGGGAAAAGAGAATTTCATATTGGTCCATTCTAGTATCACAAGAAATATCTTCCTAAATGTTTTAGGAAGTAAAATCATTCTGAGGGCCTTAAATAAATCATCAAATTCCATCTGAATCAGCTGCTCAGGCTGTGACAGCCATTACTCCTAAAACACCACCCCATAATATTTGTTGTCCTGCTCTAAACTTAGCTGTGAGAGCACCACTCCTCATTACAACATGCAGCCCATTACAAAAGATGGGATCGAGTTACCTCAGATGCTGCTGTTTATCAGATGTGGCAGCGTAAAAACAAGGTGAGTGCTCAAGGCTCTTTACTTCTCACAGATTGTTTCGTTAGAAATTTAATGCTGCATCTTAACCAGCGTGTGCTGCTCATCTGTTCAACCTTTGGATCTGATTAACAGCTGCTTTAACATGTGGCCTTCAGCTTCTGCTAATGTGAGGAACTAAAGTTCCCAAATAGTTATTTATTCTTTTGGTGACAGGAAACAATGTCTGTTTCTGTGAGTGATTGAACCTGCACCAATTTCTGAATCTTACTTTTTAATCTTGTTTATAGATTTAGCCCAGGCAGGTTTTTCTCTGCTTGTGTTCAGCTCTGATAAGATGGGCAGCTATAACTCAGCCCTCATTCTGGGTAAGCTCTGTAACTATAGAATGTGAAACTTTAAAAATCCTCTCTCTTTAAGGATAGCTTTATTATTTGTTTTCTGTTTCTCTTAAAGACACAGACGAGTTTGAATCAATTGTATGGGAGAGCCTGAGTGAGCAGAGAGCTCCTGCAGCAGAGGAGGCCTTACAGTCAGAGCTTCAGTCTCTGGGAAGTATAAAATGAAGCCAAGTCTTTGCATTGCACTGAAGCACCTCTCCCATAACTTGGAGCCCTTTTAGAAAAGTGTGCGTGGTGTTATCTGTGTTCCCGCTGTCCTTGGGATAAATTTAACTTTCCTGAGCTGGCCCTTACACACACAGACATGTGCTGCAGCTGAAGATATCTACACTGACTCCTTGTAATAAAGGTTGATAGTTCTCAGTAGCTGATGAGCTCTTTTATAAGGGTGATTATTTCATTAGGATTAAAATCACAGTTCTTCATTTTAAAGTTATTAAATAATATATTTGGAAAAAAACAAATATATATTTTTTATTGCAGCAGAATCTTAGTAAAACTGCATGAAATATAAACTTTAGGTGTAATTATTCTGTAAGGGAAATGTCAGACATTAGGAAGTGTTTGCAGAGATTCTCCACACTTGCACCTCTACAGGTAATGGAACCTTTTTTGCAAGTAATATATTGAAAAACAAAAAAAAAGCGGGCTGCCTTGCAGCAACAGGGTTGTGGGTTCCCAGCTTCCTGTTAGGTTAACTGGCTTCTCAAAATTCTTAGGTGTGTGTGTATGTGCATGGTTGTTTGTCCTGTTTGTCTCTGTGTTACCCTGCGATGTACTGGCGACCTGTCCAGGGTGTACCCCGCCTCTCACCTGTATTAAGCTGGAGATATGCACCTGCACCCCTTGCGACCCCACTTGGGATTAAGCTTGTCAGAAGATTGATGGATGGATCGAAGAAATTAAAGGAGACGGAGAGAAGGATCCCTGGCCTTCCCGTTTCGTTGATCTTTCAAGATAAACTGTATAAACAGTCAAAAAAACTTGTAGATTTTTCTGCTCTGATTAGATAACCAGTTGCAGCTCTTATTCAAGTGGCGTTTAGCAAAGTACAGGTGATCTTGTTTTATGATGAGGATTGCTCCAAAACGGTTGAAATTTTCTGACTATTTTACGACACAAATTGGCCTATATTTGTGTCAGAGTTTTCATCTGAAAAGCTGTTGTCAGTATATTTATCAGCATACTGTATTGGTGTACTACAAAATATGTTATATGGGTCTAAACCACTCTTGTACTAACCTTTTGCATCTTAGAGCAAAGTAACCAAGCAACACATTAAACAGGGGTAAAAAGCTGCTGGATGTTTCTGGTTTTACTTATAGTGAAATTAAGATCAACATTCTCTATGTTGGAACTAACAAGGTTAAACTAAAACTAAAAGGTTATGCATTTGTTAAATAATATATTTCTTAAAAAATGCAAAAAACCATCTGCATTCAGGCATTCCAGCTATCCTTTGTGTTGTGGCATCACTGAGTGGGTTTTGTCGAGCATCGCCTCCTGACACAATTTTGAAGTGTCTGAGTGTGTGTTCCTGTTTTGGCACCGGAGGGAGAACTCATATAACAAAATAAATAAATAAAAAAAATAAACATGGCAAGACTGCATTATTGGTATATTGAGATAGCCACAAAACCAAGGCTCCAGACTCCTAATCTAACAAATAGTAGCTTAATATGGCTGGAGCTTAAAACTAACGGTAATTTCTGAATAATCGTAAAGTGAATTGGAAAGGCGAAAACTGAACTGGTCCAAAGGATGAATAAATTATAGTCTCTTATGTCAGCATATCATCATAAGACAGTTATTTAGAATTAAACTGAAAAACACTGATTTAAATAATTACACATTTCTCACAATCGGGGGCATTTGTCTTTAATTTGAGCAGGATTATAAGATGATCAATCAAAGAAAGGGGTGTTTCTTCCCTTAAAATAAGATACCGTATTTGGATATGATGCACTTAAAATAAAACCATCATGTTCTTATTTCTTATTTTAAACATAAATCATTCTATTGCATTGGCAATTTTTTACATACCTACTCAAATTAGAGAAAATACACTTAATTCAAGAAAAAAAAAAAATACTTGCTCAACTTACAGTTGTGTCTGTTTCCAGTACAGGAGCCATATTTCAGTCAGAGTTAAGTGTTTTTTGTAGCATTGGCCTACGTGTCACACTGAAAAAAATTTTATGGGGTGAACCCGGGGATTATTTTCTTTCTCTTTTTTTGAGCGATTGAAGTGAAAGCAGATTCACAAGAGTAGAACAAGGTATTATCCTTCACACTCAACTCCCACATAATTAGACCCTTAATCCGACAATGCTCCCTTGGTGCCCCACAATGGCAGCCCACTGTTCCCCAAGGGGATGGTTTAAATGCAGATGTAAATTTCTCCAATATAACATCAATAAAGTTTAGTTATTATATTATGAATATATGTTTCCTCTATTAACTTTGTTTTCACAATTTCAGATGTAGATTTTTTTTAGATAGTGCTTAGAATTAATGAAATTATGAAAATAATCTTTTAAATTATATTATGCTGTCTTTGCAATTTACAATAGTAGCTATTCAAAATTTCCCTACTTTCCTTGATGCGCCCTTGGCTGGTCCTGTGAGATTCCTTTTTTAAACATCAATCTTTTTACTAAAATATTCTTTCTGTCATGATTTGTGGACATTAAGATCTAAAGAGAAGCACCTTCTCCTGGTCAAACCCTGTAATCTGTAATTCATTGAAAGCATTGAGTCAGAGTAAAAAAATATGCACACCCCGGAGAAGGCAGTGGCTCGAAGTTATCTGCCATTTGATTGGGAAGGGCCATTTTGAATGGCTACTACTGTAGAAAAATGGCTAAGATGTATTGGGCCCTGTGTTTCTGCCTAAGGTTCATATGTGTTTTCATTACATTTATGCTATGATACCTGTTGGGGGAGCCAATAACCTTTACACTAATGACTGAGTTAAAACTTATATTTCATTGAGTATAGTTCCCGCACATCAAAGGTAGGTTTGTAGATTGTACTGTTGTTATAAAACTTTACCCCAGCTTCTGCAAATTAACATAACATTGTGTGTAGAAAAAAAACTCAAACTAGTTTTTAACTACAGGTAACATTAATCATTGAGAAGAAAAGAGAAATCTGCAGTGAAGAGATGAATTCTTCAACACATCAAGAAAGCATTCAGGGAGCAAACGAAAATTGTTCTGTCCTTCAGGTAAGACCTACTGGGAACGTCAATGCCTCATAGATTATTGTTGAGCTGGAAATGTGTTCGTTTTCTGTCCTTTAGGCTTCAGACAACAACGATTCAAAGGAGTCTTTCTCCACCCTGCTGCCGAAAGCTCTCTCTGCTGTACTACATCCGACTGGATCTCCAGCATCCAACTCAGACCACCAGCAGAGAGGCCAAGAGAAAAACATTAAAGCAAATGTAGAGCAGCTGCAGATGGAAATGAAAGACCTGAGGGAGCAGTTTGAACTAATGAAGAGTCAGCACAAGTAGGAACAAACACCTTCTACACTCATCTACATATTCTAACCTTACTAATTGATTTGCACCCAGATTTTACCTTAATTGTTAGCAGTAAAATAAAATGACACAACCAATTTCATCAAGTGCTCAGAACCTGCTAAAAATCCTCTGACCTGAGCAATATCCATTTTAACCTTTTTATGCTTTAATAGCAAAGAAATTAAACTGCTGATGAATGAGCTTGATGAAGAGAAGAGGATTCGCCTAACTTTGCAGGTAGAGGTTCATGTTGCTGCTGGAATAAGGTTAAAGGTCATGACCTGTGACATTTGTTACTGCGTCCTTCTTTGTTTCAGATGGAAATCCAGCGGATGAAGAAGCACATGTCAAAATGAAGAGGAACGACTGCATAGAGGGCAAGAGTTTCCAATTTTATATATGTTTGGTCATCTTGTTTGATGGAACTGAAGATGACAATAATCAATTTATGCTGTTTTAATGGAACAATTAGGATACTGTTGTTAAACGTATCCTTCAGGTTGATTTATTCGGTTCCAAGTTGTATTAAATTAGTGTTAAAATGAGAGGCCATGGCATTGGGTAACTACTTAAGTGTTTGATCCAATCCCAAGAATCTGCTTAATCACTCAGGGCATCTTTAGTTGATTAGCATAAAAGTCCAAGATTACTGCAGACGGGGCTAATGTTTGACCCACAAAGACTGATCAATCAAGCCCTGATGTCTCTGCAAATAGCCTTTTTAACTTTTACTGGAGTAATTTCTTGGATGAGAACTTTTTACTCTCCTTTGCATAAAAATGTATGTTCTAAAGGCACTAGTCACAAAACCTTATAGCCTTTAAAGCAAATAGGCAAACAGCATTTTTCTGATAAATTTGTCACAGTGATTGACTAAAATGGCGCTGAAATATATTGCAAAGAAATAATTAAAAATGTAAATTACAATGGAGAGTAAACGTCAAGATTTTAGCAAACTGGAGGCAGGGTTTGATTTGAATAAAGACCTATGCGTGTTGCAATAAACAAGTCTTTTAAAACATGTATTAAAATTATGCAGGTCTTAGCTTTCTTAAGGTATAGTGGAGGATTTTCGTGAATTTTTGAAAAGACCCTCCCTCACCGTTAAAAAAAAAATGCACATGCACAACCCTGTACTTGCTCCAGATAGGGAACAACTATTAAACAAGTGTGAGAGCTGTTTAAAATTGCTGTTTCCATCGCTCATATAAGCTTACTTTCCAAAAAATTTATTTTTTCAGTAGTAGAGTTTTCCACTATGTCAGACTCACCACCGGTAAGTGAAAATCGGGACGAGCACGTAGGACGTCCTTACGTAAACGTATCACCAGAATGATTGACAATTAGGAACTACCACTTATTTTGATGATCCACCTGGAAAAAGAAAATCCTCCACTATATCTTTAAGATAGGTAACCCTGTGCTTTAATTGAATAGGGATTCTGTCTGCCAGAAACTGTTGGGAAAAAATATGTTACTGTCAAGAAAATGCATCAGAGAGATGATGCATGTTTTTGACAGTAACATATTTTTTCTTATGCACTTTCAAGCTTTTGATGTAATGAACCTGCAATTGCATATCTTAACATAACATATGAATGTGTCTCCACAGAGTGAGGTTTATCAGAGAGGGTACCTCCATCATTAGACGGTAGAACCTCCTCCCTGTCCTGAACCCCCAACTGCAAAAACACACTTCAGATTCAGCCTCAGTTATTAAAGCTGAAACACATTGGCAAACAGATACTGGCTGAAGAACAGGATGCTCCTCCCAAGCCGACGACCAGGATGAGGAAGAGTTTCCAGGATGTAGTAATTGTGTACGTTTTCTTGTTACAACAAAACACGTTACACGCATTTATTAACTTTGTGGAGTTTTTTTTTTTTTTTTTTTTACAAAATATCATGATTGGAAAATTCCAGATCAAGAAAGTATATACATGTTTTGTTTTAATTTATATGAGCACTTATCTAAGTTTTTATGCTATCGTTAAAAAATATTATTGTATGACATATGCAGTGGCTTGTTATTTTCCGTTTGCAGCAATTACAAAAAAAATATCTATCTATCTATCTATCTATCATCTATCTATCTATCTATCTATCTATCTATCTATCTATCTATCTATCTATCATCTATCTATCTATCTATCTATCTATCTATCTATCTATCTATCTATCTATCTATCTATCTATCTATCTATCTATCTATCTATCTATCTA